GGGCTGCAGGGACTCGGGGATGTTTGGTGCTTAGTAACCAGGCACATGGCATCCCATCCCTGTTCCCAAGAAAGAGCCTTGCCCACAGCACAGGGAGAAGTGGGGAAGGAAGGAGAGGGGAGGAGATGCTCCTCTAAGCAACAAGGAGCAAGAACTGACCAACTGCCCCTCCCGACTTCCAAGGGCAAGCCCATGCTGCCTCAACGAGCTGTGGCTCCTGCGGGCCCCTAGCCTCTCTCCACGGGAGCCACTGCAGACCAGTATAATGTGAGCAGTCTCTCTGGTTGTCTGAGTTCCTGTTTGGCCTTTCTCCTCTCCCTTCTTCTCCTTCCCTTGTCTTCCTCCCCCCCCTCCCTTCCTCCCTCCCTCAGCAGCTTTGCCAACTGCTTACCAAAAGTTGCTTCCCAGCTCCCTAAGATGAAGGGGACACGATGTCACAGAGGGCTCTGGCCCTACCCCTGCTCCATTCCTGCAGACCATTTCCTTGAGCACTTAGTATAGGGTCCCTATCTTTATGTGACCACAAGTCTAGAAAGTTCTTCAAATTCTTTCTGCCAAGACAGATGACAACAAAGCCCGCTGATGGGAGCTCCTACCTAGCCCCTCTGACATCACAGGGGCTAGGCGGGGAGGGAAGGCGCTCAGGCTCCAGGATCTTCTCAGCAGCCCTGATTTCCACCTTCCTGTTGGTCACTCGCCCTGGTCATGCTGCCGTGGTCATGCTTTAGGCTGTGATCCGTATGGTCAGCAATTCTAAGCCACCAGCCGCTCCTAAGGAGAAAGACAGGGCTTTCTACTCCCATAAAGATTTCCTCTCTGAAACCCCCAGGGGCAGTTCTCCTGTCCTATAGCGTCGCTGTGCATCAGCACCCACTTGATGGCAGTGAGCGAGCTGAGGGGTGTGTGCTGGAGCCTCGTGGCGCAGCAGTGAAGTGCTCCTCTGCTCACCCAAGCATCAGCAGTTGGAACCTGCCAGCGGCCCAGAGACAGGAAGCTGTGGCAGCGTGTGTCTGCAGAGATGGCAATCTCTGAAGCCCTGGGGGACAGGTCTACTTTGCCCCTCAGGGTCACTGTGACTCTAAGTCAAGTGGACAGCAGTGACTGTGTTATTTTTTGTTTGTTTGCTTCCCTGGCATGTTTAACGCTCACCCAGGGCAGGGCTTACATTGGCATCTCAGGATCCCAGTAGGCTCAGGTGTGTTGAAGGCTCAGAAAACAGTTGAGTTGATAAATGCCATGGTCGCTGTGTGTGTGCTCCAGAGTTTCCGAGCCTGTAAATCTCCATGAGAGCAGACATCCTCATTTGTCTTGTATGGAGGGATTGTTGGCTTGGAACCAATGACCTTGTGGTTAATAAAAAATACTCCAAACTCACTTTGTCAAGTTAATTCTGACTCATAGTGACCCAGTAGCACAGGCTAGAAGGCCTGCGGGGAGTTTCTGAGACTGTAACTCTTTACGGGAGTAGACAGCCGGTCTTTCTTCTGCAGGGTAGCTGGTGGTTTTAAACTGCTGACCCCAAGGTTAGCAGCCCAATGTGTAACCACTAAGTCACCAGGTTTCCGTTAACCTGGTGGTTCTCAGCCTTCCTTATGCCACCACACTTTCATACAGTTCCTCGTGTTGTGGTGACCCCCAACCATAAAATTGTTTTCATTGCTATTTTATAACTGTTATTTTGCTACTGTTATGAATCGGGCAACTCCTGTGAAAGGTTCGTTCGACCCCCCAAAGGGGTCGCGACCCACAGGTTGAGAACTGCTGCTGTAACAGTTTGCTGCTTACACTACATACATACATACATGTACCTATCGGTTAACCGTTTCCACAAACTTGTATATACTACATACATGCATATACACACATACATATGTCTTATGTTTTCATTAAAAAGCCTTGGAATCCCAGTGCACCTCTGGCTGAGAACCTGCTTCCAAATGGAATGGATTTGCATGGCCTGGGGGTAGACCTAAGGGGAACGGCTTTCTGTTCGGCGCACCACCAGCCGGACACCTCTGCTTTCTTAACACAGAAAGGAAGAATTGAATTGTGGGAGAAAAAAGAATAATACTTATGTGCATGGGATGAAGAAATTCAGATTCTAAGTAGAAGTGGGAAGGGCAGGCGTGGACACAGGGCTATTTTTTGGTCAGTTTTCCTCTCACAATTCCTGGCTCCAAGAAGCCCACAGCTCAGGCCCCCCTCCCCTCCCCCCCACCTGCAGCGGACACGCTGCTGTGTGATTTGGCCAAGCGTCAGCGTGAGGTCTCCTCCTGAATCAGCCACTACCTGCCCAGCCAGCCGGGGCAGGCATCCTGGGACTATAGCTCCTGGTGTCTTCTTGGGGTCCTTGGCACCTAATCCGCATACCCACACTGCCAGCAATGCCCCGGGCCGCCTTCTGCAGCTCCCGCCTTTGGACAATGCACAGCCAACAGCCCACGGGTTGCTTGTGCCCTCTCTGCTGGAAGCGCGAGGGAGCAGAGACGATCTGGTGGGTTAATACCCTTCTGTCTATGCATGCCCATCAGCGTCGAAATTGGCCCCATTTATAGAGTTCCTATTATGGGAAAGACGCTGGGCTAGGTGCTTAGCATACATTAATCTCTGAGGATCACAGGAGCCCCACCAAAGACAAGCTTGTGCCCTGTGCTCCTCAGGGATACGAGGAGGAAATTGAGGGCTATAAAAGGTAAAGAATTCGTCAAGGACACTCAGTTTGTAACGTGCTGGGGGCGGAGTGGGTTAAGCTTCGGGCTATTAACCACAAGGTCAGAAGTTCAAACCCACCAACCACTCCTCGGGAGATTTACAGTGTTAGATGTCCACAGGGGCAGTCTGCCCTGCCCCCAAGGGCCGCACGAGTCTGAACGGACTTGACGGTGGTGAGTGTGTCCTTTTGTTTTGAATTTATAGACAGTGCTACAGGGCAGATGAATTTTGTTTTCTGGTCTCATGTTGGTTGTTGTTTTTTAAGAAACTTGTCTCATGATCTTAGTCCCTGAACTACACAAAGTCCTAACTACCCCAGCAATGACCGAGTTAGTGGGGGCTAGCGAGCTTTATTTAGCTCTTTTGTTGTTGTCCCTTGAGAGAGAGAGACTGTGATCCTGTTGTTGTTATTAGGTCCTGCCTAGTCAGTTCCAACTCCTAAGGACTGGAGCACCAGAGACTGAAAGACTCCTCAGTCCTCAAAATCGCTGTTCTGTTTGAGTCCATTGTTGCAGCCACTGTCCGTCCATCCCCTTGAGGGGCTTCCTCTTTGTGGCTGGCCCTCTAAGCTTCCCCAAGCATCCTGTCCTTCTGCAGGGACCGGTCCCTCCTGACAACATGGAGAGAACGCGAACACGATAGGTGTGTCGGCTCCACCGTGGATGGAAAGAACAGAAGAAAGAACAAACCTGTCTCAGACGGAGCACAGCCTCGGGAGGGCGTGCGTTCTCCTGCCAGGAGAGGTTTGCTCTTCCTTCTAGCCAACCCGGGGATGCCCAAAGAACCTATAGGCAAACACACCCACCTTCTTTCTGTCCGTATACATTGTCGGCCAATCCAGATCCAGAAATGCATCTGTGAATTTGGCCTAAAAATAGCAAGCCTGGACTTCTAGTCATTACCAAGCGGTCTGGGAGGGGCAGTCTTGGGCTGGGCATCTAAGCCTGACTTGATAGAGCATGTCCCCAACTCTACTTCCATGTTTAACTCTGGGTGGCTCGATGATGAGCCCTGAAACTCCCCGACCAGGGCAAGCAACAATGGTGACAAAGACTCATAGTCAGGAGTTAAATTCCTTTGACTTCTGAAAGATTCCTGGGATCACAACCAGGAAGCGAGCGCTGCAGAAATCCCCAGAGGTCCCTTAGCATCTCTGGGATGTGGCTTAACCACATCCAAGCTTTTTCAGTTTTCCAACCAACTTGAGTCTTCAAGATGTTTTTGAAACTTCAGAACCTATTTCACAGCAAATACTCTTAAATTAAATTTTTATGGTGTCTAGGCTGAGCCCTTTTTCTTTTCCCAGGTCTGTCACGTGGCAACGATTGGTCTGGTCAGCAGAAATGTTGATGAGGAAAGATTGGCTCCTCCTGACCAGATACACTCCTGCCCACTGGCCCCCTCATTGGGGCCAGCATTCTCCAGGACCCCCGTTTCTCAGACTTTATAGCATAGCAGTGAGTGAAGGGTGCTGGACATCCCCTGCTTAGAGCGTCCACCTGCTAACTGAAAGGCTGATGGTTCTAGCCCACCAGCCGCTCCACAGAAGATGTAACAGTCTGCCTCTGTAGACATCTACAGTCTCAGAAGCCCTAGGAAGCAGTTCTACTCCATTTTCCGGGCCAGTGGTTCTCAACTGTGGGTCGCAACCCCTCTGGGGGGGGTCGAACGACCCTTTCACAGGGCTTGCCTGATTCATAATAGTAGCAAAATGACAGTGATGAAGTAGCAACGAAACTAATTTCATGACTTGGGGGGTCACCACAACATGAGGAACTGTACGAAAGGGTCACGGCATGAGGAAGGTTGAGAACCACTGTTCTAGGCAGAGGTGGGAAACCTTTTCTCTGCCAAGGGACATTTGCCTCTGTCTAGTATCATGCCTGTGATGGCTGGGACTGTGCCGCACTCTGTGGTGAGGTATGGATGGTTTCCTGGGCCACAGATGGCCCGCAGACCTGAGGCTCTTCGACCCTGTACTGGGCTGGGCTCTGAGTCGGATCCGCTCAGTGACGGTGAGTTTGTGTGTTTCTGTGTCTATTCTTCAACTTGTATTTTTTGAGACAAGCATGTCCAATGCTTGTCAGTTCTTTGCAGAAAGACTTTGTAAACATTGGAGTTGGGGGGTGGTGGTGTCATTCTTCCTTGCATGAATATATGAGTATGTTTGAGCTGTGCATATTACACATGCCAATTTTTTTTTAATTGAAAAAAAAACAGTCTTCCAGTTTGAAGGGCAGCCTTGAGTTCATTGCCACGCCGACGTCCCTTGCGTGCTCTCTCCCCAGCTTCACTCGGACATGGACAGGGGGGACGGGTCCATCAAGTACATCCTATCCGGAGAGGGCGCAGGCATCGTGTTCACTATCGACGACACCACGGGGGACATCCACGCCATCCAGAGGCTGGACCGCGAGGAGAGGGCCCAGTACACCCTGCGAGCCCAAGCCCTCGACCGGCGGACGGGCCGGCCCATGGAGCCCGAGTCCGAGTTCATCATCAAAATCCAAGACATCAACGACAACGAGCCCAAGTTCCTCAACGGGCCATACGTGGCGGCTGTCCCAGAGATGTCGCCAGTGGGTACGTGGCGGTGTGCCTCACAAGCAACCACTGCAGACGGGGCATCCATGAGGGCGTCAACACATGCACAGAGGAGCACTCGTGTGGAGGACCAGCCTACCCACCACAGAGGGGGTCCAGGGGATGGTTGTGTGATTGAGGGGTGAGCTAAAGAGACAGCAGAGAAGAGAGCGCAGGCAAGGGCGCACCTGCTTCCATGATGGCCAAACCAGAGGGAGACGACCTTACTGACCCATAGACTTAGGTAGTCTCAGGCAAGCAGGTCACAGCAAGCTCACACATCACAGGAAGGCGCACATTAACAGCACATGCATAATGTGAGGGGGATGAGCTAGGTTAACAGCACATGCATAATGTGAGGGGGATGAGCTAGGTTAACAGCACATGCATAATGTGAGGGGGATAAGCTAGGGTTATACATGCTATAGGAATGGGTTATCCTAGAGCAGC